CAGACACAAATGTAATTTTGCGTTCTCGCCATGGGCTCAGTTCAAAACTGAAATTATTATATCTCCTATTGGAGTACAAACAAGTTATTTTTCGGAAAATGGGGCATGGACATTTTATAATTCGAGCATTTCGTACAGCCCGGAGGCTAGTTATATTGACTTTAACTTATACCTAGAAAGAAAACCTCGATTTGTTATAGTAAACGTCATTCTCCCAATGATTTTCATGGCTTTTTTGAATACAATTATTTTTGCTATTCCAGTAGAAAGTGGTGAAAGAATTTCTTACAGTATCACAGTTCTTTTGGCGGTTGCTGTTTTCCTTACGCTTGTGGGTGACAACCTCCCTAAAACATCGAGCCCAATGTCTATATTTAGTTACTATCTATTAATAATTTTGATAACAAGCATAGGCATCACTCTGGTAACGATACTTAATGTGCGTGTGTATTACAAAAATGAAAAAAACCCTGTCCCAGAATTGATTGCCAGTTTCGTAAGACGCTTGGGATGTAATTGTAAAAACAAGGATAACAAACGAAAACGTATCCCATCTAAATCCAAAACAGAACGCAGGCAATGAGAGGACAATGTAGTGCACAACTATATACGGATGTAGAAACATACATTAATAAAACAGACATATCGAGACACTACAATTATTATGTACCTAGGGAGAACGTTCGCCGCCCAATAATAAATGGCAGAGCTCCATATCAGATTTTCAGACACTGTTGACAGCGAAAGTTCAACTGAAGATATAAAAGAAAATGATGTTGTAAATGATTCACTTGTTTCATGGAAGGATGTCAGCACAGCATTAGATAAATTATTCTTCATTCTGTCTTTTATCATAATACTGACAACAACAATTATATTTTTTGTGTATATATACACTTCAGGCAAATCAGATAACTTTAATTAAATTGAAGGGTCTACACTTAGGTTGTTTTGACATGACGGGACTATTTTTCCGTATTTTGTGTACCATTCATTTGAGGAAGGTCTTAATCAATAACTGGTATTCATATTTTAAAATCATTCTTTCATTGCTTTTCCAAGAATAATCTTTTTTTTTTGTACAAAATGACTAAACAATAAAATGCGTTACAACGATTTTCTCTCAAATCGGACCAAATATCGCACAAAAATCGATATACAATCTCATTATGATTTTATTCTTTCATTATATATTATAGATTTGTATTCCCATTTTAAGTTCTTCACTTGATTTATGATTTATAAAATAATAATACAGACAGTTTACGTGAATATAAAATGCATATATATGTACATGTTTATTCGATATAATAGAGGATACTTATTATCTTTCAGTGTCAACATTATTATATGCAATATCACAAGCAATGGTTTTGATACTTTGTTTATTCGTCCTTTACAAGTTGCCATTTGTAAGCCTCTGCAAGTCATTATTACCTTTACAAAAGACTATAGACAAACTTTAAATATTTCGTATTATAATAGGTTTGAAGATAGCCAGGTCAACCTCGTATATAACATATAGAAATGTATAATATGTGGCATGCGAAAATCGGCGTCTAATACATGTACAAAAAACTGATATAATTATGACTTTTTATTGGGTTTTACACAAAAGGGGTCATGTGTCATCTCACTAGCTTTACTGGTGAAGGAGGACCTTATGGTTGTGCTCTTTTGTTCTTATTTTCAGGCACGATAGGGCAACAGGGTAGAACCATCAACGATCTGTTTGTAAGACAGATAACATTCCCACATGAACGGACCAAAAGTCCCTAACGGGTTTCGAACCTACATTGGTGACAAGCTGTTTGAAGTCAACGACATTAACCACTCGACCACGGTCGCGCCTCTTATACTTTTTTGTTAGAATTCTTTATGTTTATTTTTTGATTGATTTTCATAAAGATAATTGATAATCATCGCGATACAAAATAAATATCAGTAAATATCAGTAATGGATGATGTTAAGATGAAAGGTTAACATAATTTGTTGTAGAAATGTTGTAAATCTTATTTTAAAAGCCTTTTAAATGTTTGCTGTCCTGTTGTTGTTTCCAAAAAGTTTCTCATCGGCCTATTTCTGAACAATCTTTCGGTATTGCTGTCTTTTGATATTTTGTACAGCTACTACCGGTATAACAGTGATTTTGTATGGAAATCAAAAATACTATTGTGTTTACACTTTGTTACTTTTATATCAACAGTTTCAGTTTATTGGCAAATATCAAAAACATGTAATTTCACAATCAGCATTGCATTTTTCAGGTGATAAGCATCTGAACTTTATACAACTCATGTTTGCCCTTTCTTAACAGATACTAAAATATGTTCTGTTTTGTTTAATTATGGGCCCTCCAAGTGACACGAACACAACCTATATGAAATAAGTAGCTTTTATGTACACAGATTAAGTTACACACAGTTATTCAACAATTGGTCTTCAAAATATATGGAATATATTTGTGCATGGCAGAATTGAGTTCAAAAGTTTATTAACATAATTATCTGATATTTAGAAGCAAAATCTAGCTCACTTGAAAGGGTAAGCGGGTGAAACTATAAATTCGCATAAAAAACTTGTTTTAAAAAATTTAACGAACTAGTTGCTTTTCAGAGAACTGAAACTTATTAATTATTAAAAGATCTAGTCACATCGCAACTTTAAAAGAAATACGCAACTTTTAAAGAAATAGGTCATTAATATTTTTTGTTGACAAAACGTATTTTTGTTTCCTATGTACATTTAATTAAATAAATTGATAGCACTTTATGTTGTTGTTGCTGTTGTTTTATCAAGCACCAACGTGTTCTTACACCACGCATGATTTACTAAACCAGTAGCAAAAACGTAAACAAAAATGACGTTGCTGTTATAGCAAAGTCTAATCAAATGAATCCATTTAAATGGTAAACAAACGCAGAAGGGAATTTCGATGTGTTTATTTATATGGTGGCAGCATGAGTTGTGCGCAAAACATTCTTAAATTAACATCTTTAGAGCAGACAGAAAATGTCTTGCATTTCATGTGCATAGGATAATACATTTCAAATAAATAAATAAATACAGGGTTAGATTGAGTACAATATAAACTGTATATGGAAATGCTGGACTTTCACAATAAAATGAGGATAAATTGACTATATTGAAGACAATAATGAATTATACTTTAAGACAATATAGTGCAAACACTTAAAGCTTATTGGGTACATGTGATAAGGTGAAAATATACGATGTTGTTACACACTGTTGAATACACTACTTAATTTGATTTTTGGACTTCTCAGCTGGACAAGACAAAAACGTCTCGTCCAATATAGGTTTTGCAGGTGCGTATCAACCCGATAGAATTAGTATTGTGTTCAACATTGTAAAATTACTTTATTACTACACCAATTATGAGATTTTAGTTCTCCAGAATAAGTACCCGTGGGTTCAGACGATGCTACATAGACAGGTGGTCTTTACAAGTAGATCAGTAGTAAGAGAATGTAATAATACTTATTTAACATGAGATATCTAGACTAAAAAACACACATTACTTCCATTGTGGTTAACAATCGTGTGCGAATATTTGTTTTCTTGTTCAATTTATTGAACAGAACGAATCAAACGGAAGACGTTTTGTAAACATTTTTGGCATATTTTTGTTTTGTCCTAGCAAATAAAGGTTTGAAACAACTTATGTAATACTACAATGCCGTGATTAAGTCAAGATAAAAAGTAGTTTACTTTCTCACGGGATTGATTTATCGTAGAAATGATAATAATGTTTATCAAACGAGATCCATCATAACGTGGCTATTACTATCATATGAAACTTTTATTATGCAAATAATATACCACTATAGATCAAAGTGATAAAAGGAGTGGAAGGGAGGAAATAACATTTCAAAATCAGAGATTGATATGTTGGCAATGGAATCACGTGTTTTAGGAAAAATCAACTTCTTTTGTTTTGCTTTTGTTATAATGGGGAGGTAATATATTATGGTATAATAAAGGTAAGTGGTACCGTTCTATGAATGAAGAGTTTGTATCTTTGTTTGATTTTTTATGAAATGAACTATGATAGTGAAATCAGAATGAATGTAAACATTTCTTTTCGTTTAATATTAAAAATCCTATCTTTCCGTTTTTTGTTTCCCATTGGCAAAATAGCTGAATCATTTTCTGCTTATTTTATGTAACAGCAATGGGTTCAGTAACAGTGATTTAGTATTTCGCATATTTGAAGATAAAGTACCACTTTGTTATATATTTCTATATCTTTTCTATTACAAATTATTTCACATTCTGTGATATTTCTTTCTGTCGAAATGCATCTCATATGTTCTAAATCTATTATTTCAGCATTATTAAACATATGTTTACCCAACAAACATTGATTCATTAGTATGCGAGGATTAACGTAGCTTTTACAGATGGTGATCCATTAAATCCGAAATCATTATTACACATATCTTGAGTATTCATTTGTGTGCTTGATTTACGTACAAATAAATTCATGGGACAATTATAATAAAATGTCCAAAACGATCTATTTCTTAAATGCGAATACATTACATATATCGGACTTTCATGATTTATCAACGTATCGGAAATCAAGAATCATTGATATAATGCTTGATGTTTTTCCATTAGATATAATCGATATATTCGTAACTGTCAATTGAACTATTTCATAGAAATAACGAGATATTTACGAGATACTCATACGATAACATACATGGATATTCGTTTCAAAAAAGACAAATTCATCATGTGAATGTTTGTATTGAACAGATTTTATCATTTTAACACTTTCCACTGATCATTCAAACCAAATGAATAAAATCCCAAATAATTAATAGCACAATACCGTCGACCTGTTACTGGTACATATCACTAACTAACTAGATTTAGTTTAAAAGTAGAAATAATTTCAATGAGGGCAGCGGGTTGGAAAGAAATGTATTGAAATTTTCTGTACTATAAAAATAATAACACTGAATCAGAATAAGCTTGAATTAGGTACGTACACATGTCAGTGTTAAACTTTTTAAAGAAGATAAGAGACCGTTTTAATACCTTATACTTAGGGTTTAAGTGATTAATTTTTTTAACATTTACTCAGGTACATAAGGATACTGAATAGGCTATGCATATAGGGTTTGTCTTTTAATATACTTTTTTTATTGATGTATGTTGATAATTCTATAAAAAGATATGTGTATACTTCTCCCTTTTTCGTGTATAAATATCAAGGAGGTTTTATTTTTTTACTTTTTTTTACTAAAAATACCATGTAAGAACTTGATTTATTGTTGTGAAACAGATTATCTAAAATGCAAATTAGTAACACTTTCAGTGTGAAGATGGCTTGAACGTGAATAAAGTTGACAAGAGTAAAGATTGATAACAAGTTGAATAAATAAATGTTAATCTCAACAATCTTGTATCTGTATTATTATATTTTGTTATATACATATAAATAAAAGATTGAGAAATATTTATGAACTATATAAATGAAAGACTAAAAAATATTTTTGAAATAAAATGCGTATTTTGATATTCCGTATATTCCGTTTTTTTCAAATGCAATGAAAATTTGTTCGTATTTTCACTGGCATTTTGCCGGACTACTTTTTTTCTAAATTCAGCCATTACACAAACTTAAATGGGACGTCTTGCGAATTGTAAGATCAAAATTGAGAAATAAAAAAAATATTTTCTTTCCCTGTATATACGAGATTAATTTTGTATCAAGGTATGAAAATTATCATATTTCACTTGCTGCTACCGCCACAAATGCAATATGTATTTTTATACCACCTAATGAATAATAAATCATATATTTTTAGAAAAAAAACTTGAATATTCTCTATATATTTGTCATACCGCACTCGTTTACATTATTTAGTATTTTTAATGCTGCACGTTTGTAACGTCGTGACAACATCGGATATTCGTGACGTAATATAATTCTTCAAGTTTATAATTGTGTTTCTTTAACTAAATAATCATGAGGTTATGTAAAGTAAATATTTTTTACGTCTGCTACCAATTTATGAAATTATTTTTTATCAAATAAAGGAGGTTTGCTGTGTTATAATTCTGTTTAGAAAAGTGAGCCGCGTCATGACAAAACCAACATAATTAATGGGTTTGCGACCAGCATGGATCCAGACCAGCCTGCGCATCCGCGCAGTCCGATCAGGATCCATGCTGTTCGCTTACAAACCCTATAACAAGTAGAGAAACTGATAGCGAACAGCATGGATGCGCAGGCTGGTCTGGATCCATGCTGGTCGCAAACCCATTATGTTGGTTTTGTCGTGACGCGGCTCAAATTAATGACAGGTTTTATTATCTAGCGGCTCGAGATATGTAATTACGCAATCACCATTAGTACATCATCAGTTTTGGTTGAAAAGTTTTTGCATTCTTTCAATTGGATATTGAGAAAAGTTAGATACGTTTTTTGTTTTAGATTAAGTAATATTTATCTTGTTAAGAAATGTGTGACAATCATTTTAACTGTAAAAATATTGTATGAATTAATAAATTAACAGTCACTGTGTGTTTTTACGTAAAATATAGATCAAATATGAAAGTAATGATACTTAATAACTTCCATAGTAAAAATACTTGTACTGTAGTGCAACACTAAAATCTAGTGCTCGTACTGATATTGTGTATTGTTGTAAGTACTGGCACTGGTAGTCGTTCGTTCTACGTACTGAAATACTCCTAGTGCTGATGCTTTGTTTCATTTTACGCCTTTTCCCAACAGTAGTTCAGTCATATAGGCGGGTAGTTTCCTAACCATCGTTCCTGGAGTGTTACACCAGTACTAGACTACCTTCCTCCGCGTTCTACTACCGAAGCAGCTCCCGGGGATCGAACCCACGCCAGAGAGGTAACTGGATTAGAAGTCATCGACTGTAACCCCTTTACCACGGAGGCTAGTGCTTATGCGTTGCCGATCATAATTTCGTTATTAATATTAAATAGTTTATGTGGCCTTGCAAAATTAGTTGTTTTCTTATATTTACAACAACAAAACAATAAAATTTTATTGATTTGACCAGTGATAAATTATTGTCATACATATATCATTGACATGCATGGATGCGTGCAAGTAGAAGTAAGTAAATATTTTATAAAAGAAAGTAGCTTTATGAGTATTTGATGGAGATTGAACATACTTAGTATATGTTACTTCTTCGCGTCATAGGGTACACGCAGAATTGCAATATTTAAACCATAAATTTCGATAAGTCCGCGCTTCAATTTGTATAATTAATTTATAAAAGTGTTAACAATGAATTGTTTTAATTATGCAAGAATACATCGAAACGGCAACATATGTAAGACAAAAAATATGTAACATAATATACTACTTCTCCGACCAACATGACTTACGCAAGGCAACAACTTCATAGGTGAATTTTCCAAGGTTAAGCAATGTGTGCTAGTTTGAAGATAGCATCAATTCGATACACTTATGATCACTTGATCTATAATTTGTAAAAACACTATTTAATGAAACGTTTCACAAACTGTAAAAAATTGATATCTTAATTTACAAGCAAAATGGTATTCGTCTTTTACTCATTTTTTTCGAAGCTGTAAATGTAAAAGTTCGTTTGTACCCTAGATTAATCTGGGCAAAAACAAAATGTACTTTATTTCGGAGTAAAAGTCGAACACGATAACGTTTACATTAATCGGTCGTACCATTATGAAATAATGTGTTGTGAATGCTATATACAGTTATTATATTTTGCACTTTGATTGCAATATAGCTATGGACACGTAAATCCGACTAGATAGTGATATTTTAGATTGTTAACAGCTCACGTTATGAAAAAAAAATCGAGTTCAAATCTGCAATAAGTCACATTTCTGTTTTATTTTGAGTATGATTTTACTTTCAGAAATATTGTAGTGTGTAACGTAACTTTTTATTTTATTTTTATAAACCTGCAATTTATTTAATGTTTTGCACAATTTAAAGTTAGAATAATGACGTATAAACAAAATTAGATGTATTTAATTTTAACTGTCATTAAATGGATTGACAGTATTAACAATTTTATTCTGTTTGAAACTCTGAATTCCATTCGCCATTCTTTAAAATTTTCGCTCGATTTATATAATTTATATATACTTTAAATGTTAAATGCGAATGTGTGTAAAACTAAATGTTCTAATGTTCTCAAATAGCATTGTGTGAATGAAATTCATGAGAACTAAAATGTAGTTCGTTGTAAAAAAATCTAAAAACATAAAATAAATGAAAAGAAAAAAAACGCTTTTTCGAAGATTCGAACCAGAACTCTCTACCACTACGCTATTACGCTGAACAGTTACGAACGGAGTTATTGTTTAGCTAGCAATCAATAGTATACTTTTATAAAATAATTATCGACACCCCTATTTGTCAATATTGATGTAAAGAGATAATGAAAGAAATTATAGCGAATTCGAGCTGTTAGTCTATTGACAAAAACGTGGACAGCGCCCTAGCTGGTTTTAAAAATGTATTTATAAGCGCCAGCCTTCTAATCAAATATCACCCATCTTTGCTTAAAATGGCCAATTAAACCCGTGGAAAGTTTCGTAAACTAATAATCCATATCATTTACATGACCTAACAATTAAACTATTGTGATAACCAGTAAACCGAGAAACATATTGCTGTCTTGTACATTAATGCTGGTGTTGATTTTAAATATTTCATTAGAAAACATATTGATCTCTTAAAGGCTTCAAAACCAGTCAACACATCGACAGAAAAAATCATTATACATGAAATGAAATGAATATGGCTGTAGATAACAATACTCTATTTTTTTACATGTTTACAAAGTTATCTGTAAAATATGCATTTGAATTATCGGATCATATTTGTTTCTAGCAATGCGCATTTTTTATCAATTTGAAAGAGAGATATAACTGTTTTTTTTTCAGAGAAATACAAGATGTCTAACAAGTGTATTGTGCTCGACGTTTATATCCTGTTTGTCTTAGTGTTCATCCACGGTGTCAATTGCCACAGCATGGACGATGCAAAAAGGCTACTTGCAGATAAGAAACAAAATTACGAAAAGAATTTCAGACCTGTGGCAAACCAATCCCAACCACTTCAGTTATATATTGGCTTTGAACTTGTTACAATTCAAGAATTCGATGAAGTAAAAGAGCAACTAACTATCGCTGGAATTGTTACCGTTTACTGGGTTGATGAATATATGACATGGGATCCCAAAGACTATGGCGATCTTGATCAGTTAGTTGTCGAAAGTGACAATGTTTGGACACCGAATTTAGTTTTAGTGAACAACGTTAACAAACTCGAGAAGATAGGCGACTCATGGCAGCTTATTCGCTTTTTACCAAACGGTTTGGCTCATTATTACCCAGGAGACGTTTTCTCTGCATCCTGTCGGGTTGATGTAACTTATTATCCATTAGACAGACACAAATGTAATTTTGCGTTCTCACCATGGGCTCAGTTCAAAACTGAAATTAATATATCTCCTATTGGTGATAAAGTACAAACAAGTTATTTTTCGGAAAATGGGGCATGGACATTTTATAATTCGAGCATTTCGTACAGCCCAGAGGCTAGTTATATTGACTTTAACTTATACCTAGAAAGAAAACCTCGATTTGTTATAGTAAACGTCATTCTCCCAGTGATTTTCATGGCTTTTTTGAATACAATGATTTTTGCTATTCCAGTAGAAAGTGGTGAAAGAATTTCTTACAGTATCACAGTTCTTTTGGCGGTTGCTGTTTTCCTTACGCTTGTGGGTGACAACCTCCCTAAAACATCGAGCCCAATGTCTATTTTTAGTTACTATGTATTAATAATTTTGATAACAAGCATAGGCATCACTCTGGTAACGATACTTAATGTGCGTGTGTATTACAAAAATGAAAAAGACCCTGTCCCAGAATTGATTGCCAGTTTCGTAAGACGCTTGGGATGTAACTGTAAAAACAAGGATAACAAACGAAAACGTATCCCATCTAAATCCAAAACAGAACGCAGGCAAACAAAGAGAGGACAAGGTAGTGCACAACTATATACGGATGTAGAAACATACATTAATAAAACAGACATATCGAGACACTACAATTATTATGTACCTAGGGAGAACGTTCGCCGCCCAATACTAAATGGTAGAGCTCCATATCAGATCAGTTCATTTTCAGACACTGTTGAGAGCGAAAGGTCAAATGAAGATAAAAAAGAAAATGTTGTTGTTAATGATTCACTTGTTTCATGGAAGGATGTCAGCACAGCATTAGATAAATTATTTTTCATTCTGTCTTTTATCATAATACTGACAACAACAGTTATATTCTTTGTGTATATATACACTTCTGGCAAATCAGATAACTTTAATTAAATTAAAGGGTTTACACTTAGGTTGTTTTAACATGACGGGACTGGGAATATTTTTCCGTATTTTGTGTACCATTCATTTGAGGTAGGTCTCAATCAATAACTAGTATTCATATTTTAAAATCATTCTTTCATTGCTTTTCCAAGAATAATCTTTTTTTGTACAAAACGACTAAACAATAAAATGCGTTACAACGCTTTTCTCTCAAATCGGACCAAATATCGCAAAAAAATCGATATACAATCTCATTCTGATTTTATTCTTTTATTATATATTGTAGATTTGTATTCCCATTTTAGGTTCTTCACTTGATTTATGATTTATAAAATAATAATACAGACAGTTTACGTGAATATAAAATGCATATATATGTACATGTTTATTCGATATAATAGAGGATACTTATTATCTTTCAGTGTCAACATTATTATATGCAATATCACAAGCAATGGTTTTGATACTTTGTTTATTCGTCCTTTACAAGTTGCCATTTGTAAGCCTCTGCAAGTCATTATTACCTTTACAAAAGACGATAGACAAACTTCAAATGTTTCGTATCGTAATAGGTTTGAAGATAGCCAGGTCAACCTCGTATATAACATATAGAAATGTATAAAATGTGGCATGCGAAAATCGGTGTCTAATACATGTACAAAAAACTGATATAATTATTAATATGACTTTTTATTGGGTTTTGAACATTAACACAAAAGAGGTCATGTGTCATCTCACCAGCTGTACTGGTGAAGGAGGACCTCGTGATAGTGCTCTTTTGATCTTATTCTCAGGCACGAGCGGGCAACAGGGTAGAACCACCATCGATCTGTTTGCAAGACGGATAACATCCCCACATGAACGGACCAAAAGTCGCTGACGGGTTTCGAACCTACATTGGTGACAAGCTGTTTGAAGTCAACGACATTAACCACTCGATCACGGTCGCGCCTCTTATACATTTTTGTTAGAATTCTTTATGTTTATTTTTCGATTGATTTTCATGAAGATAATTGATTATCATCGCGATACGAAACACCTAGTAAATATCAGTAATGGATGGTGTTTAGATGAAAGGTTAACAAGATTTAATTAATCGCATTCATATGGAACTTTGTATTGAAAAAATGAGTTCCGTTGAATTAATAAGTTTTTGTGATGATGGTATCTCCATGACATTATTTTGGTATCATATATTTAGTACGCACATTTTAAAGCATACTTATGTTTATAAATTATTTTGCGGTACAGCAAATTATTTCTCTGTACGCATGAAAATACATGTATATACGATCAGAACAGATTTACTTTCATATGAGTGATTTGTGGGTGTGTGTACACAGCGTTTTACTACCTATCAAGCAATCCAGTAATTGGATCCACTGACAAACACTAAATAAAATCTCAACCCGGATGTCTTTGCCACAAGGACGATTCAGTTACGGATTAACTACTCGTTATACCGTCTGTTTCCTTGACAACATTGGAACCCGAAGAAAAGAAGAATAAAAGAAAACGGAAAGTGAAAAATCACTACCCAAAAATTGACAAAAAAAACATCTTCCGATTCAAAGTTATCAAAATACTTAAGATACAGAAAACAAACGGTTTTAAATTCAATAACAAAGTCAATGAGCAGATTTTGAGAATAAACATGGGAACAACATGTCTACCAAGTTATGCCATTATCTTCATGTTATACCTCGAGAATACGTTTTTTTACGTCTCAAATTTTAAAAGCACTTGTATGATGGCGCTTTTTTGACGACATTTACATGATACGGCCGCACTTCATAGAGGAATTGTATTCCTTGCTGGCACAACCCAACAAATTCAACAAGTCAATAAAATCCAATTATGACATAAACACTAAGATTGCAATTTTTGGATGTCAAAATAATAAAGGATTCAGAAGGAAATATAAATACGAGTCAATACACGAATAAACATATTATAGCCATCTTTTTTTTATATTTGGAATCTTTTAAAACTACAGGATGATAACAACAAGGACGATTTTTTAATCAACACATTTATTTAAAAAAAAACATTTAAGACGCTGGTGGCACGATTCCAATATTTTCTGTTTTAAGCAACATAAAAAAGACATCCATATTTTGTATAATTTAGCTCGAAAATTTTGAAAATATTTATCATGATGAAGGTTCGTTAGAACCGAACTGGTAGATTATTAGATAACTTAACATGCACTGGTGTTGACATGTTGTATTTCTTCATTTCTATCTTATTTTGATTTCATTTGAGTTGTTTACATTACAGACAGAGTTGAAAAATAATAAATATTGAATCTTATTACATAGATAAATATACATTATTCTTTTTACAATAACAAGTGTCTGCGACCTGTATCATCGTAACCGACACAATTTGGACAGCAAACTTGGTTTAAGTGAATAATGCTGTGTCAATCCCAAAAAAAGGTTGATGATCCAATTTACAGCAAAGGAATCGGACCTAATTATCCTATAGACGTTTTTACTGCCAGAAAGAGACGTTACTTACCATCCCCTGGACACGAATATGTAATTTTACTTCAGGTCCATGGCCACAGATTGAAATAATTTTTAGTCCTCTTGCAGATAAAGTCCTTATAAGATAACTTTTCAAGAAATTGTTCATGGATTTTTTTACATTTCTAGTATTTGGGAGTGTTTTTGTATTTTTCTCTTTTTACCTAAACTTGAAAAATCTGTTTTCGTTTTTCCCAATGTTTTTTTCCAACTAGTATAATATGTATGGCAATTTTGAAAAAAAATATGACTTGAAATTTTGAAATTCCCATGGAATGTGTTGAATGGCGCACCTGGCGTTTGCTTAAACTGTCGCAAACATCGAGTGTACATTTTCAGTTAGAGCTGCTGGAGTCACCTGAAAGAGCCCTGTCGGAATCCGTCGGAGTCTATACATAAGTTTTTCTCGTATCATGAATTTCATGCGTATTTCATGTTCATTGTAAAATGATTTTGAGTATAGTTGTAAGTTGATTGCATGTGACATTTATACAGGCATATTTTCTGTAAAAAATATAAAATAATTTGATTCATTAAATAGCGAAAATGGCAAGAAATTATTGCGTTTTACTTAACTCCGAAGTGGTAAAAAGAAATCGAGCTACAGTCCTAAACTAAAAGTAATAAAACTTCGCCACACGAACAAAGCTCTTTGTACTGGAATATAAAATAGAAAACCAAGAAATAGGCAAAATACATTGCTCATTAAACCAACATGATGTAGTCAGACAGAAGTTGTTTAAATGTAGGAACTAAAAACGTACAAAACAACCTCATGGAAGAATGCCAGATAAGCTTTTAATAAATTAAATGCACTTTAGTTTTCCCTTATTCGTATAAAAACGTATAAAAATGCCTGTTGAATGGTATATTTTCCTTTGTTTGCTTTGCCCACTTTGAATCATTTTATCCACCTTGTGAATAGAAAAACATGATCCTAATTTTTATTGTAAATTTGAATATACTAGAAAAAGCATTGATCAACGATCTTATATAAGCAATAGCTAGACTCGTTAAAAATGACGTTAATGCATTATGTATCCGTATTATTGAAAGTGTTCAGTAAGTAACAATGAATTATATAGTTGAACTATGATCGAGTAGATTATTGTAATGTAAACAACAGTTGACAAAAAATTATGGGTAACCATTATGTTATGTCATAATGTGGTATATAAGTGGATGCCATTAGTCGTATAACTTAACAATCTATATTGACTGTAAGTTTTTAAAAGCTTTTCAAAGGTTAAAAAGAAAGTCGTTGATGACCTTTGTTTATTTTAAGTTATCTAGATGAAAGTTTTCGCAGCAACTCATCAGGTAAACGTTGTGAAGATATTATCTATTGTCTCTTTGTGTTATATCTAGAAGTGGTATTTACGTAGCTAATAGTTCAAACAGTGAAACGCGTGCTCTAGCCTTGGTTCATTACTAAAGTTGAGACCCGATAGTTTAGTGGTATACAGATATGATATCGATAAAACGAATATATTTGAATTATTTATATCTGTCTCAAATACGTCGACAATTGAAAATGTTGCTTGGCAAAACGCATTGCTATAAAAAGTGATGATAGATACATTTTAAAACGGGTACTATTGAGTGTAAAAAACAAACATGTAATACTATATTTTTTATTTAAAATAGTTTCCACATAATCACACGTTGATATGCAGTGCAGATCTGCTGCAATAGCTTAAGATGTGACATTCTTTATATATCGGTAAACATGACATGTGATAATATTCTGAATATTGATACATATATATCTTAAATAAAAGGACAGATGCACTGTAACATCAGATATCTGAGTTTACACGTTATTCTTCACTGCCCAGTTTTGTTAACTAATCAGTTGCACCAAGTACTTTATCTAGATTTATTAAACCATCTGAATCTGCATTATAGACTTCAACAACAATGTTTAGATACCTTTGATGGAAGATAATAAGGAGTCATTCAACAGTCAGAAATGTACACCGTCAGATGAGGATTACACCAGAATGGTTGATTATTATTGCAATTGTTTGTTTGTTTTTGGTTTTTGGTTTTTTGTTTTTTTATTTTTTGTTGTTTATTTTATTTTATTTTTTTTTGGGGGGGGGGGGGTTACGTCACACCGACACAGTCAATGTCATATGGCGACGGTCACTCTTTACTGGTGGCGGAAGACCTCAAGTGCCCGTGTGTGCATTATTTCAGACCAGGAAAGCTTCCTCATATGAAAGAATCCAACCCATGTAGGTATTAGAACACACAGTGCTGAGGGGCAAGTGGTTTTAAGTCGACGACCTTAACCCTGTCGGGCACGGACACCCCATGATTATCACAGAATGACAAAAATAAAGTGTATCGGTATTGGGTTATTTACAGAAATTATCGATTTTTAAGAAAATGTTCCAAACAAATCAACTGCTGTGTTGTGGGTGATTTTGATATGTAAACTCATGTGAGATTGGGCCTATTTTAAATTTTGTTATTGAAGTTAAATTTGTGTAAGTACAAAGGCTGAATTGGAATTTAGAGTTAACAACACTAAGTACATATTGTTTTATAATCGAAGCCTTACCCTTTTTCCTTTTGGGTAGAGGTATCAGTATTGTTATAATTACTAACAAATATTTCTCAGATTTAATGTATTCCAAATAAAAACAACAGTGACGATCTCATAGGGCTTAGTTTGACTATCCAGACTAAGTTTTGAATGCATTTTAACTTTTCTGGCAATCAATTATTCGAACTGTTCTTACAGACGGATACACTGTTATAATGTAAATTTAAAATTATTGATAAGTGAACCCATAAAATAACCCATATATTTTTATGTTCTTGTCATTTCAACTTCATGTATATTGTATGTGTGATATGTAATTATTTTTTATATTTTTTTTATAGATTTTTGTTAGAAACATTAATTACTGTAAATTGCTTGTTGATTTCAATACGGTCATTTTTCTTAAAATAGTTTTTAAACTTCAAAAATTTCTCAATGTAATAAAAAACACCTCTAAGCAAAACATTTAAATACAATATTGCATTTTACGTTTTCCTGCTTTATAGTGACATTGATAAGTTATAATAAATCTCAAAAGCTTAAGCCCGAGCTTAGTGGTTTATTATAAAAACAAAGGAAGCCAAAGTTGTAACTTATTACAAATACAAATAATAAAAGGTGATTTGTTAATAACTAATGTTTACAAAGTTAATGGAAATGGCTTCCTGTAATATTTTATAGCTTTCGGCATTGTTCTGTATAAAATCTTGGTAGATTTTTCTATGGTCATCATTCACCATCCATCGTTCTTAAAATAAAGTTGTGTTTAAATTATATCGGATATCGGATTTTTATATTGATTTTCAGTTTCCCCACCCCGTCCAAATCTGCGTTATAACAGTATACAT